GCAGCTGCAGGGCTGCAGCCTCCACCCTCTTGCTGGCTGCCAGCTGGGGATGCTCCCAGATCCTCTTCATCTTCAGAGCCGGCAGTTGATAATCTCCCTAGCATCACATTTGTCTCAGGCTTCCACAGGCTTCTGGAAAAGCTCAGTCCCTTCACCGGATTAAGTCATCTCACCCAGGATAATCTCCCTTTTCTTGAGGTCAACTGATAATTTGGTACCTGAATTAAATCTGCAAAACCCCTTTGCAGCAGCTCCTAGATCGTATTTGATTGAATAACTGAGAGAAGGTGTTTGGATATGAGGAGCTGCAGATCTTGGGGACCCTCTTGGCATTCTGCCTACCACTAAGACCAGGCTTTGCTAGGACATGTGGAGATTGAAAGCTGCGACGGGTACTGAAGGCAGGAGGGATCAGTTGCTCCTTCACCTGATGGAAAGGGCAGTCGGGTCCAGGGTAAAGTCAAGGGCACAAGTGTGAAGCAAGTGATGGCAGAGGCTGTTTCAATGTCCTCTCACCATAGTGGCTGTTGGTTTGGGAGCTCTGAGCCTACGGGTATTGCCCACAATGAATCGGAAAGCAGGAGAATGGATTGAGCCACACTCTCCTGATTGAAGCAAAACCAGAAGCTCCAAGATTGCCCAGCACATGTCTAGATTCAGAAAAGTGCTAACGGCTTAACTCAAAAATAAATGTATCAAAGAATTCAAGACATATGGTGTCAAATAATGATAAAAATATATAATGTTAATGGAAAAATATTTGGAATCTAAATTTCTTGTTTCTGAGGAGTTTCATTTCATGATTAAGATTTATTGTCCAGGAAGAATTTTTTTTAAAAAAACCACCCTTCACATGGGAAAATATTTCTCTGATTTAGCTCAGATTACAAAACCCAAGGATGCATTTTAAACGGAAGAGAAGGAACGCCTCCCTTAAAATAACTCTGCTCCAGAAGTGATGGAATCTTCTAGTGTCAGACTTGCAAAGTTCAGTATTTGTAGAAAATTCACATGCCTTTAATTACAATAAACCTAATTCCCAAGTAAAATTGTGCCATCTGGAAAATATTAACATCATTTACAACTTGTTCACCTCCCTATTGCATAGAAAAATTTTGCTCCTTGCCAACTTTCCACTGTTCTTCAGGGAAACAAAAAAATTACTTTCATGGATTGTCTCAAGAAGAGTTTATATAGCAAGCCCAGCAAACAAGAAGTGATAAAGGAGGTATTTTATACATATTTACTTCCTTCTTATTGCTTTAAGTCATTATATCTTTACCTTTAAGGTTTTTTTCCTATAAAGAATATTCTTTGCCAGGCGCTGTGGCTTACACCTGTAATCCCAGTACCGTGGGATGTCAAGGGGGACAGACTGCTTGAGTTCAGGAATTCAAGACCAGCCAGAGCAATGTGGTGAAACCCCATCTTTACCAAAAATACAAAAATTAGCCAGGAGTGGTGGAGCTCACTTGAAATACCAGCTACTTGAGAGGCTGAGGCAGGAGGATCACTTGAACTTGGGAGGTTGAACTGAGATGGCACTACTGAACTCCAGCCTGGGTAACAAAGTGAGACTTTGTCTCAAAAAAAAAAAAAAGAAAGAAAGAAAAAAAGAATATCCTCCTCTCTCTGCTCCTCTCCCTGCAGGCTTCAAAAAAAAAAAATTTTTTTTTTTTTTTTTTTTTTTGAGATAGAGTCTCACTTTGTTGCCCAGGCTGGAGTGCAGTGGCACAATCTCAGCTCACGGCAACCTCTGCCTCCTGTTCAAGTGATTCTCCTGCTCCAGGCTCCCAAGTAGCTGGGATTACAGGCATGCATCACCATACCCAGTGAATTTTTATATTTTTAGTAGAGACAGGGTTTCACCATGTTGGCTAGGCTGGTCTCAAACTCTTAGCCTCAAACAATCTGCCTATCTTGGTCTCCCAAAGTGCTGGGATTACAAGTGTGAGCCACCATGCCTGGCCTCCAAGGTAATCTTTTTTTTAAGAGAACTGACTCTTTTTTTTTTTTATCACAGTCACGCAGAGAGAAGGTTGAGGTCATAAGAAATGGATTCTGTTCTCTGTTTCCAAGCTCAGGAGCCACTCCTGCACCTCTGAATCAAAAGACGTCTCCTCCCTTAGGAAGAGTCGCCATCTTTGATATCTCACAATGTATCACAGGGACAATGAGGAAAGGAGGTGACACCTGCCTGACATCTGGCAGTGAGGTCAGCCAAAACTGGATGACTGTGACCTCAGTCAGTCTGTCCTCACACTGCCACTGACTTGCACCCTGGACAGGTCACTGACTGACTTCTCTGAGTCTCAGTGGCTCATCTGTAAAATGGACACAATGATGATTAACCTGAAGAATCCCAGGGAGAAATAAATAAAATCATGTATGTCACAATGCTTGTAGGGGTTCAGCTGTCCCTTTCCAAGCGAGGTTGGGATATGCAGAGAAGGAAAGGAACAAATACATTTAAAACCAAATGGAGAAGAGCTTTGTTTTCCACAGTGTATACTACCGGGTCAAAACAGGCTGTAGTTTAGGTAGTCCTGGAAATGTAGCTATTGTTGTCTCCCAGGGGACTCTACCACTTAAAAGATAACTAACTGTCAGAATATGACCATAGCCTGATATTCTGAAAAATACTATTTGGAATGACAGTCAGTCTTGCCCTAATATTGCTACCAAAGTTTAATCAATGAAAGCCATTTTTAGTAATGGAGTTAAATAAAGTGATTTATATATACCATAGTATGTTTTTTTTTTTAAATCATGAAATCCACTAAGTGTTTCCATCGATGTACCCAACCGATTTAATGAAGTGCAGCTGGATTAGTGCTATTAGCGTGCGGTGCTGAATTTGCTCAAAAAGCCCCCTTAATTGGTGTGGTGGAGGCACTCGGGTGCATTTCCAGTTCTGGAAAGGCAGTGTGTCTGGCTTACTGTACCACAAAATCTTGATCCTCAAAATTTCTTTATAATTCTTTGGAAACAAGAAATGAAGCAATAATTCTGTTTTATGTTTATAGGACCTCATGTGCTAATTTAAAGAGATTTTTTAAATCCTCCTGATTAATTAGTAATTATTCAGTAGGGATCTAGGTAGTTTGCTAATCAAAGCTATAGGAATTAAAGTTGGGAAATTCTTATTTTTTAAAGTTTTTCCATTTTTCCCCCAGTAACTACCATAGACCATTTTCAGCATCAAGTAGGGGAGATTCTTTATTCTGGAGTAGGGAAGTCCTTTACACTGAAACGACCAGTCACCTTTCCTGAAAAGTAGAAAGCAAAAAATGTTCAAGAAAAATGGGTCAACTGACATGAGTGAGATGCTTCTTCCTTTTTGTGACACAAGCAGTAAAAGAAAGGCTGGGCTGAACTTTACATGAGCCAGTGGGCACTGACCTAAGTCAAAATTGTGCTACTTTGTTCAATAAACCCTTCTCTGGTTTCCTTAAAGTACAAACCACTAAGCTAACAACAACCAAGAAATATGCATCTTTTAGAGATGTACCCAATGTATTTATGATGCTAGAATGAAATGTACATGAAAAAAACAGATCATGTATTAGAGAGTTTCCTTTTCTTTAATCTCCATTGTTTATTGAAAGCAGCATACTGTTTGCTATAAATCACCTTTAGAGTCGATACATTAATGCTTAGAGTATATGTCCTCTTTCATTTTTTCATTATTTGAAATTCTATTAAGTCAGAAGGCAGGTGTATCAGCTCTACACTACTGAACTTCCATTAGCCTTACTATCTTACCAAATATTCTCTATATGCCCCAATTTGTAATGCAGTGAATAATTTATATAATGAGAAATAATCTACAGATGTACAGTAATACTTCAGATGTCAACCAGAGCTTTTCTCTATCTGACAACATGTGAAAATAAAAGATTCAGAGAATCATTGTTTATTGGCTAGCCAGTAGTTTACACGATGTTTTTTCTTTTCACTGACCTTCCTTACAGACTAATAAATTGGTGCATGGCAAACCTTAAATACCTCTATATTAGGAACAAGCTCATGGAGAGAAGAAAGGATTGTAATGACTTAGGTAACCTCATGATTTATATGGATCTTAAGGAGTAATTGTGTTTAGAAGAAAGGAAGGCAATGGCCATAAACGTTACCGGTAGCCCCTCTCAGCTAAGTTTAACCATATGCCCATACAAAGGTACAGCTTGCTGAAATGGGCCCTGTCGCTTGACATGAATTAAACTCAACAAGGGGAACATATAACACCCATCCTACCATCTAAAGTGCTTCTCAATCCCAAGGTAACTTTCTGGCAAGCCTAACAGGAAAAAAATGGAACAGGGTCAACTTCACTAAAATAAAACGTGGCATAAAGCAAGCATGCCCAAATGCACTCTTTCCTAGAGAAAGGTATAAAAAGTTCCCCCGATAATACTTAAGGCTCAGCTGTGACAACAAGACAGGTAGGCAAAGAGAGAGAATGTTGTTCTTTACCTTCTTTGACTGATTATTATTCCAGAAAAAAGGGGATTTTTTTTTTACTATATAAACAGAATATATAAAATAATTTAGCTTTTCACTATATTTAAGCAGCTTAATGTCTTTGAATACCTTTAATGTAGACAGCTGCAGCTGACTGTGCTTTACGTATACAAATTTATTAAGAGGATTGATAGTGTAGATAAAGTCACAGGAAGAGATAGGAACAAGCCCAATTTTCAGCATTTTAGTTCTTGAATTATTTGGTGGCATCTGAGTGCTTATTTAAAAATGTACAGTAAAACAGGCCTTTTGGGAATCCTTCCAGTTGAAACTTATTAAAAAATTATAAGTCCCTGAAATTGTCATATTTAAAAAAACCCATATTTCAGATAGTTCATTAATTCTTATTTTTTTCCTTTATGGCAAATTGCCTAGGTCATATTATTGTTTTCATCACTTTCTAATCTATGGTGTTTACTCCCTTTTTCTTACCTTACAAAATACTTTAAGAGAATTTTTTTTTGAAATTTAGGAAATGCAGCAAATAATGTTCTTTTCATGAATACTCACAATTTATAACAGTAAATTAAAGGCTCTGAGAAGCATCAGTTATGAAATTCTAAATTAACTTGGTTTAATCCAACATAGGCTAATCTCACTGATGACATGAACCTTTTATGACATAATACCTATGGAATCGGTGTCGTCGTGAAGTGCTTGCTATGTGCTATTTTGAAAAGTCGCTTACTTTGCACAAGCACAGATCAGAAGCAATAAAAAATTCAGGAAGAGAATCAACTCTGTAGATGAAAACATACATCTGAGAAGACAGAGATAAGTTTGGCAGTCTAGTTCTTTCTCCTGTTCTGCCTTCAATGGTAAGGATTTAATTCGACTCAGTGCTTTGAAAGACTGTTTTAGCAACTGTTTCTGGCTAACAAGTACAATGCTGATACCTAAGACTGTGCCTATACTTGGTAAAAATCGCTCAACCACGGCTGACAAATGCACTTAGCTTGTTTTCCTCTAGTTTGTCTCTCTCAGAGCAGCCATCAAGAATGTCTTCGTTTTACCACCTTAACTCTAAGATGACCACCATGAATAGGACTAAGCAATATTTTACAGTGGGGAGATATAAGAGACCAAGTTTGCATTTTATAGATGGGAAAACTGGAGCCCAGAACACTTAATGGAGTCGAACAATATTCCAGATCTGGTTATAACAGAAGAATCAGAACTTAACCACTGTATTCTGATGAAAGACAAATCATGATATCTCATTTTTTAGGCAATGATGAGCGGTTTTTTGTGATCATTAGAATTCACTTCTAATTTGAGATTCCTACCATGGGATTTCTCAGCCTTGCTCAAAAGCCTACAGGAAGGGGGCTGGGTGAAGTGCTGTAATCCCAGCACTTTTGGAGCTGAGGCGGGTGGATCATCTGAGGTCAGGAGTTTGAAACCAGACTGGCCAACACGGCAAAACCCCATCTCTACTAAAAATACAAAATTAGCCAGGCATGGTGGTACATGCCTGAAATCCCAGCTGCTTGGGAGGCTGAGGCAGGAGAATCGCTTGAACCCGGGAGGCAGAGGTTGCAGTGAGCCAAGATCGAGCCACCGCACTCCAGCTGGGTGAAAGAGTGAGGCTCCATGTCAAAAAGAAAAAACAAAGCGTATAGGAAGGGACAGTTCTGAGTCCAACAGGAAGCTCATCCCATCTTTGGCCCCTGGGCGATTATTCCAGGTCTTCCTTACTTTGTCTTCAGTCTGTTCCCTCAACAATCGTTTCTGCAGTATTTAATGCCCCTCCCACCCACTGATCCAAGACTGCGTTTAATTCCTCTTCCACACGACAGCCCTGTGGTTATCTGCCCCACGATTTCACTTCCCTATGATGAGTTTCTAATTTTATGGTATTATGAGAAGGCAAAAAATTCAAAGGACTCATTTATTAGACTGACACCTGAGAAACAGGCCCAAACACAGATAAGCAAAGAAACGGCTTCTCTAATTGCATGAAGTTTGGTGAGAGGTTATTATTTTAGCAAGACAGGGATGGCAAGCACTTCGAAAAGTGTGTATGTATTTCACAGGCTCTGCAATATGTGTGGGAAGCCTGTGTCACGAAGGGAAGGATGGATGGCTAGACTTCCACTCTGTATTCTTATCCCTTGAATGCCTTCCTTTTCCCTCCATTCCTACATCCTCCAGCCTCTGTCCTTCTCACAAATCTGGGACCACGCAATCTAGAGGTAGAGTCTTGTGATGAGAATGAAGATATTCCCATCATTCATTGGAGCAAGGATCTAGGAAGTGGAGAGAGGTGCAGGGCAGAAGGAAGGGCGGATCCAGGTCTCCCATAGATGGCCCCAAGCACGGGAGAGCCAAAGAAATACCTGAGTGACCATTCAACACAAGCATTTCCACATCTATTTTGAGGGTTGGTGTTCTGATGCCACAGAATGAACTTATTCTTCTGACTTTTCCTTTACAAACTGGGCATGCCAGCCAAGAACTCCAAATTCTGGACAGAGAACACGCCTATTTTTATAACTGTTTAATTGCTATGCTGAATTTTCTCTTCCCCCCTCCTCATGCAATTAGGCAGTTTCATGCCAAATCTTATAGTCCATTTAACATTTTTGCATGTGTGTAATATAGTAAGATTATTGCTGCACTGTAAAAATGTCATTGATTCAAGGGACTTTTCTTAATGACTTAGATTGTAATAATCCTCCTTCCCAGACATAGGCGAAATATCCATTTTCCCTAATTAAACACACACATAACCTTCATAAATTTTGTAACCTTAAAATAGGCATTTGTAAATTTCAAAGTCAAATGGCCTTTATATCCATTACTTACTAAGGAATTCCTCCTTAATTATTCACCAATGAATATACACTCAAAAACACAGGCTAACAGCTCAAATACTACTGAAGCAGAAGTAACATTGAATTTGGCAGTCATTAAAAATAATAACTTTAACTTGATGTTTTTCTAAGTTTTCTCCTTTAAATCCAATGTCTTCAAAAAGACTTTCTCGTTAATGTGTGACAGGCATGTTAAACACAGGCTGTGCAAATATTTGAACAGTAATAATATTGATTTCTTCCATGGCAATTTTCCATACACATGGTAGAAGACTACTAGCAAAAGCTCTGATTTCTACTCTCATGATGCTTTGCAATTACACAGGAAAGTATTCTTAGCACGTACAACATATATAATTTTTGGAGAAAAACGTAGTAATATCTTATATTTTCATAGCCCATTTTTCTGAAAAGCTGAAAGAGCTTTTATGCTTGTCATTATTTTAGAGGCTTGGAAAGAAAGAATGAATAGGTAGTGTCCTGTTACACATGAGAGGACACGTGCAGCTATGTCCCCATCACTTTTGGGAAAGCTAGTCAACTTGTCAGGACCATGGGTTTCATGGGCAATTCTTTAGTGTGACTAGTGAGTCTGCTGAATTAACTCCTGCAGTCTTCACCCAGAGTCTCATAGAGGTGTCTGGAGTGGAAGAAATGGCATAGACAGAGGTGATGCCTCATCCTTGGGTCTGGACCTTGCTGCCTGTGACTATATATCAATCGATAGCATGGGTGCTATGGAGAAGGTAAGTGAAATAGACACTGTGTCTGCTGAAGATCATTTGAGGACATTTCCATAGCAGCTTGGCTGTCACAGTCTCTCCAGCACGCTTAGCCCATTCACAGTTTCAGAGCTGTCTCAAGACAGAGTGTGAGCCCCAGCTTTTCTGGGTTGCCAACAACACAGTGCCTTTCCTTCTTACTGTAACCAAGACTTGGTAAAGAATGGTATCTAAATCTGGTTAAAGTAAACTTTGGTGACGGTCTTAAAAAATAAAATATATATCCTAGTAGATATATGTCAGGGTAAAATGAAAATTAGAACAGGTGATCTGGAGGTCAAATGTAGATCCAGGTATTGGCCACAGAATTTTCATTTTGAAGCTCAAACAGAAAAAGGCATGCCCTGACTAGTCCTGTGGGTGGGTTTCTGCCCCAAGTCCCTACCCAGTTACTGTTGATGGGATAGTGTTAGTTCTTTTTTCATTTCTTAGAGATGGGCTCTCGCTATGCTGCCCTGGCTGGAGGGCAGTGGCTATTCTCAGGCACAATCCTACTACTAATCAGCATGGGAGTTTTGACCCACTTTATTTCCAATGTGGGCCAGTTCAACCCTCCGTAGGCAAGCTGTTGGTCCCCTGCTCCCAGGAGGTCACTATTATCCATGCTGAACTTAGTGTGGCCATCTCATCAGCACAGTGCACCACAGCCCAGAACTCCTAGGCTCAAGCGATCCTCCCACCTCAGCCTCCTGAGTAGCTGGGACAACAGGTGCACCACCTCTCCTGGCATGTTAGTTCTTTTGAAGAACAAAGGCAAGAGCCTAGTGTCTCTCATCTAAAGATAACTGTAGAGAATTTTTCTGGCATCCCTTTCCTGGAAGTTTCTTTCTTCTTATTGCTGCTGATTCAAATCCCACTCTTTCAAAGCCCACCCAAGGTTCATTTATTCCGTGAAGCTTTTCTTATACGCAGTCACCTCTAAATGTTCCTCTACTTGAATGTATAAAACCCTTAGTTAGGGAGTACGAGCCAAGTCATCAAATTTGCCAAATGTTGCACTACAACTATTTTTACGGGGTCTTGTGAGCCTTTTTTACTTCCCTGATACAATTTATACTTTTAGGTAAGAAATATCTTCCTACTTACCTTAAATTTTTCTGAGAATCAAAAACAGTAGTTTCCCTGGGATTAAGTTCATACTTGCAGAGAAAATGAACTTACAAGAGAATCTAGAACAACCACTGCGTAGCCAGGTAGTCAAACTATTTTATATTCATACTTTTAACAACATTTAAACAGAATCTTCTAAATCATTTAAGAACTAGCTCTGAAAGAGGACACTGTATACTTTCAGATTTTTTTTTTTCTGTAAAACACTTCTGGGAGAACTCAAAGCATGGTGGGGTATACTGCTTTTGTTCCAATTACATTAAACCTTATTAAAATCGCCATAATGACAACAACATCTCTTCAGAAGGGTGTGCCAAATACTTAGGGGGCTTAGTCTCACCAAGACGTTCTGGGATTTGGTTACCTAATGCCTATTAGTGATAATAAGTATTACGTCTATAAATCCCTGGGTGCTTGTATCAATCCTATCTGTTTTAGTTTCCACAGGTGGAGTGATAGCTCTAATGAGGTCCACGTCGTCACGATTCCTGTTTAGAGAAATAAAATGTTTAGATCTCAACTTTCCTGCCATTCCCTGGTGGTGTTATATATAAGGGTGACATTTACGCATTTCAAATTGTTCCTTGAAGAATAGCGATTCATTATCTTTTAAAGAAATTTGCTCCACATCATGTTTCAATCCAACTGACATTAGCGTATGTTAGAGACACAGACGAATGGTAAGTTTTGCCTAATGAAGCTGTTAATTATTCTCCTGGTTATATTCACTCCTTACTTTACCACTCTCCTCTGCTTCCTTCAATTAGGCGCCAAGCATCAAAAGGTTTGGGACGTTATCGTTATCACTAATCTGAGTGCAGGACACACCATTCATTCTCTTTTCTTTAGTGCCTGAAAATAAAAATTCGCCACCTTTTGTATGGAAGGTCAGCATCTGTGGAGGCCAACATTTTAGACCGACTGCCTGTTCCCTCATTTGAATTTCAAATTCTTATCTATAAATGCTTTTCTCCCCCTACTTTAAATCCAGGGGCTAAGGAGCACTGGGCGCCCTGCTTTAATAATCTTGGTCTCTTGTATAGCTTAGATATGTAAATTACAGGTTTTGTTCTTTTATTTCGCCCTTTTAGTATCTAACTTCCATTGAAATGGAATATAAGTCCAGCAGCCACTTTGCAACATGAGGATGTATAGAATGCCTATATAGGATACGTCTATGTGTGCATATATTTGTGTATGCTTGAGCATAAATATAAAAGATTACAATCCTGTCTACAGAAGATTAATTTACAAAATAAAAGTTTCCAAATCTGTGCTAGTTTATGCAAAATGCTGTCATTTGGAGCTCATTTTTGTGTGCCTTGTTACTAAGAGGTTTTTTTTTTTTCATTCATAGGGGCCACCAAGGCACGAGGGGATGACTGACCCTGGTTAATCCAAACCACAGGATGGACAAAGTATGAATTTCAGTCGTCAGATGATTAACTCTGGTCCTTGGGTCACAACCTTGCCTGTCAGTAACTCACTCCTAAACTTCTTCAGGAAAATAAAGAAACTTGAACATGCCACTTTTAAAGTCAAACTCAGTGCCATTATGATAGACCCTGTATTCTTGCAAAGTTTCTTGGAGGAATCTGATTTCCAGCTGTTGTTCAATTAGTTTCATATCAGTCAATCCTTGTTTAAAAACATGTCATAAGGCTCTGTGGCTTGTGCACGCTTCAGTTACCTCCGATTATTACATCAAGATTCACAAACGAGATACCAGAGTCACTTCTATTTATTGGGAAATGCTATTGAAACAAACTGAAATTCAAGTTCAGAAGAGATTGCAATAACCCGTCAAAACATCCAAGGAGAGAGGAAGTTGGGCCTCAAGGTGCATGGGGCCATTGTTAAATGCAAGACAGCATCTCACCTAATAATTTAAACATGGTCTCGTGGCCTGACATTTTTAATGCTTCCTTGATCTCATTCTTCTATCCCTACATGTTCTTTGCCACTGTAGGGGGCAGTGCATAGTGGGTTATGGATTAAATACCAAGCCTTATTCTGCCAATAGCACTTTTAGGATGGGAAAAATCACTGGGTACTTTTATAAATAGTCACGCTGTAGGTGTCCACAGAAAGCCACCTTTATTCAGGGCTTTTAAAAGCTGCCTGCTTTTTAGACACAAACCAATCCATAAAACTACCAAGTTGAAATTGTCAGCTATTATCTGGGCAGTAAGTCTCAGGCCCCTCGGCAGGCTGATTTGAAGTTTTTTGTCAGCGCAAATTAGGATCCTGGGTTTAACGAATACAATCTGGGTCTAAAAATTAATTTAACTTGCCCAATCCCCATGATACACAGCCCGGGGTTCGCATTTGCTTTGTGACTCACTGCATTTGAATTAAACTAGAGGGCTAAGAATGTTATGCCGGAAGCAGCTCTGATTCTGAAGAACAGAAACAAACACATATTTCTCCCATCATCTGCTGCTTCAGGGCAAGAAAAAGAAAGCCACTGTAACTTGGAGACAAGACTTTTCCAGACAACTCTGAACAGCAGCAACCACAGCACAATACTAAACAGAAGTGTGTTGTGGAATCCTGGACTTCAGTGAGAAATTAGTAGGAGCAAATACACAATTTTTCATAGATATGGTGTTGGCATGAATTCTTGACGTAAACTCAAAGGAACTGCAAACTTGTCTGTAAATGAACATTTAAAACACAGATTGTGAAGTGGTTTTTTGGGAGCAGAGAATCAGTTAAATGAAGGAAAATTTAGAAGCGTCATAGACCTGGAAATAAACTAGAAAATTGTCTGTTTCAATATCCTTATTTTCAAATATGGAAGCTGAGGCCCTAAGAGATTGGGTTACCCAAGATTACAGAGTTAGGTTTTTTTGTTTGTTTTATTTTTTGTTTTGTTTCTCTGAGGCAGGGCCCCAATCTGTCACCCAGGCTGGAGTGCAGTGATGCAATATAGGCTCACTGTAGCCTCGACATCCTGGGGTCAGGTGATCCTCCCACCTCAGCCTCCCAAGTGGCTGAGACTATAGGTGCATGCCACCATACCTGGCTAATTTTCTGTAGAGATGGGTTTTTGCTATGTTGTCCAGACTGGTTTCGAACTCTTGGGCTCAAGTAATCCACCCGCCTCAGCCTCCCAAAGTGCTGGGATTACAGGCATGAGCCACTGTGCCCAGCCCACAGAGTTAGTTGTGACATCAAAAAACCCAGGTCTTCTGACTCCCATCTTGTACTTTTCCACAAACTTCTCAAACAGGATTTCCCACTAGGGGAGGGATAGCATTAGGAGAAATACCTAATGTAGATGACGGGTGATGGATGCAGCCAACCACCACGGCACGTGTACACCTATGTAACAAACCTGCATGTTCTGCACATGTCCCCAAAACTTAAAGTATAAAAAAAAAGAATGCAAATCCTCTCTGGCAATTTATTTTTTTCCCACTTGTTCTAGGAGAGCAAAATTCTACAATGTCAAACTCCTGATTGTAGGCTTTCTTATCTTTCTAGCATATTTTCAACAGTAAAGAAAGTAATTTTTAAAATCTTCACTCAAAAAATATATATGCATTTTCAAGGGTTCTGATGGTCTTGGTTCATGTTTAATTCCAAGTATAGGTAGAGAGGTAAGTAAGTTTTCTATGTATAGACCACATGTTGACCTTGACACTGAAGCCCAGCAGGCGAAAGAGGGCATCTGAGCATTTTGGTGGCAATCCTAACATAGGGCTTGAAAGGTCCTTAAGAGTTTATTTGTCCAACTTAATCCAGTTCCAGCAGATGAGTATATTTGTGTCTGTCCTGGTTTTTATAAAAACCATCAATGACCATGGCTGATGCACGTAATTCCAGCCCTTTGGGAGGCCGAGGCGGGCAGATCACATGAAGTCAGGAGTTCGAGACCAGCCTGGCCAATGTGGCGAAACCCCGTCTCTACTAAAAATACAAAAATTAGCCAGGAGTGGTGGTGCATACCTGTAATCCCAGCTACTCTGGGGCTGAGTCTGGAGAATCACTTGAACCTGGGAGGCGGAGGTTGCAGTGAGCCGAGACTGCGCCATTGCATTCTAGCCTAGGCAACAGGGTGAGACTTGGACTCAAAAACAAAAACCCGCCAACGAAAATAATTTCACAGCTTCCCTATGAACTCATTTCTGTAGTCCATACCCCCTACCTTCAAGAAAATTTTAGAAGACAGAGTTCCAATTTGTCTTGTTTCAGTTTGAGTTCATGAACACTAAAATAATAAAATCTATTTTTATCTGGAATACTTAAATTCCTTATTTTTTTGATGAGGTAAGAAACGTTTATAAAACACTAACTTGAACACAATGGTCCAGACAGGAGCTTTTTTCCCAGGCTTTTCCTTCCCTGGAATATTTTTGGCCCAGCAAACTTTAACTCGAACTCCTTTAGTATGTACCTTGGCAGCCAGTGCAAAGGAAAACAGAAACAGGGCGCTTCCTTAGAATTTGACAACTTGATTGAACAGTTGCATCTTTACAATGGGGATGGAGACACTCTTTTCATGAATTCAGTCACATACAATTAATTTCTTTGTGCTAGAAACAAGGAAAACTGTCATGGACCAGAATTACAGAGGGGAATTTGGAGATCATCTTCTCTGACCCCTAAATGTTACCAATAAGGTAACAGAGCCCCCCGTAAGTTATGCGGGCTGCTAACGGCCACACGACCAACTGTCCAAGGCAAAGTCAGTACTGGACTCTGGACTCCCTGTTTTTTCTATTAAAACACACTCACTCAGCATTCAGCAAAGAGGGGAGAGAAAAACAGAAAACATGTTCATTATTTTGAAGGAAGGATGCTTGCCATCTGCTAAAAGCGCACATGCACACACGTGCTCAAAACCCAATAAAATCATTTAAAACATAGCTGATTTGCATAATAAAGATGTGGCATTATTACCAGACTATGGACTTTATCAATTTTTGAATATCTATGCGAATGAGTGAGTTTCACTCATCCATACTCAATGTGAATTCTTTTGTCTGTCACAGTCATAGTGTGGATGATGTGCTTTCTGCAGAATTAACCTCAGGACAACCCAGAGAGGTCGCTAATACCAACTAAAATATACTCTTCATTTTACATTACCATTGGATAATGCTGGTGTCCGCAGACTCAGTAGACTCTGTGGGCTTTGTAGCCTTGAGTTAAAATCAGTACGATTCCTTCCAAATAAGATGTTGATCGCTTAGTAATTTTTATGTGCATGTGCAGTTTTATGTCATGGTGGGGGTCCTACATATCTCAAATGCTTCCGTGAGTGTGGGATTTGGGGGTGACTTCTTAGAATGTGAGAATGTAGCCAGAGTGTAACCTGGCATTTAGTGTCCTGCAAATGTGCATCACTAACTGTTGTTCTTCATGGAATCGGTGTCTTTGCAGAGTAACTCTTCAACAAAATCTATGTCCTAACACCCTTGCTGAGAGAGCCAAGGAGGGGCCAGAAGAGTCAATATCTGAAAGTTAATGAGGAAGATAAGAAGGAAAATGCCATTTTTGTGAAATCCTGAAGAGTCACCAGGCGTTACTGAACCTGGGAAAGAACTTCACCTCTCTGGGCCTTCGTTTACTCATCAGCAGCCTAAGGGGATTGATTACCCTAGAAGATCTCCAAGGCTCTTTCCATCAACAACAAACACATCATGATTCAAAAACAGTCATTTGTGCCCAGGTTTCATCATAGCCCAGGGTCTCCGACTTGTCCTGATACCACCTATAGACTGCGTCAACTTTGGGCAATGGGTCTCAAGCCAGGCATTTTTCAAGTGCCCCACAGTTATCAAATAATTTAAAAATCTTAGATTTTCATGTTCATGATTATCTTCTAAAAATGGCAATGTAAGACCATTGTGGAGCACCTAGATAGGTACCATATAAGGAATACTGCTGTGTCTTTTGGTAGCTACATGTGTGTCTGTATTGATGATTGAATGACTGCCAAGTGGGGTGATAGGAAAGCATGAATCCCTATATAGCCAAGGTTTACCACTTGTTCAAAAGTAAACCAGTGGCGGAGAGGTGAGCCATCACTTGGGAAGACATGGCTCTGAACTCGAAAGACCCCACCTCCTGGCCTTCAGCAGCATGTCCAAGTCTTTGGGAAACTGATAAGCAACAGTTCATTCGTGGTCAGTGTAGATATAAATAGGCAGTGAAGAACTTTCCTTTAAAAGATTTTCTTCCCAGGCCAGGTGCAGTGGCTCACGCTTATAATCTCAGCACTTTGGGAGGCTGAGGCAGAAGGATTGCTTGAGCACAGGAGTTCCAGACCAACCTGGACAAAATAGTCAGAGCCTGTCTCTACAAAAAAATTTTTTTAAGTTAGTCAGGCATGGTGGTGCACACCTGTAGTCTCAGCTACTTGGGAGGCTGAGGTGGGAGGATCACTTGAGCCCAGGAGGTTGAGGCTGCAGTGAGCCATGATTACTCCACTGCACTCAGTGTAGGCAACAAAGTGAGGCACTGTCTCAAAAAAAAAAGATTTTCCTCCCTATATTACATTTTGGGGGTGTACCATTAAATCATTTGGCCTGTTAGTAGCCAAAACAAATTAAATGATTAAAAGTAAATAAATAAAAATAAACAGTAAAGGTAATAATGATAGCTAAAAGGGCTCCCTATTATGCTAAAACTCAAGGAAATTAAGTTAACAACAAGCAAAGCATAAAGTGAAAGTACATTCTACTATTTTATCGCCTGGTAACAGGAATTTTGCTTCTACAAAACGCCATCAGTCATCACCCCAGATTAATGTTGCCATCTGAGTGTTTGGATTTTGTTGTTATGTTGGAATTAGTGCAGAAAGTTGCTCGGACTCATTTGTTTTATGGGAATCCAAAGGGTAAAAAGAGGTGTGAGTGAATTTTTTGTATGCAGGTAATAAGTAAGATTAGAATAAAAGTGATCTTCAACACCCAAGGTCCTTGGAGATATTTCTTTCCCTTTAAAAGAAGGTCATAGATTCCTTAAGCTGGAGAAATCCTGTGTTTTCTTTCAGCTCCATTCTCAGGCCTTTCAGCGAGGACAGGAACCCACAGCCAGACAGGAAGGCCTGTTTGAAGCCAGGTTGCCTCCCTAGAAGTTTGTTCTGGAGCGTTCTTGTCTGCTTTTCTTTTAGTTACTTTAAGTGGTTTTAGGAAAAAGAACTCTTCATCTTAATCCTGCTCCTTACCCCCAAGCCAGCCCGGAGCCATCTGGAATCCTCCAAAGTGACTTATTCTTTGAAGAGAAGAAGGACAAGATGTTTTTGGACCTTTGCAGGAGGTCTGGGTACAGACAGGGTGCTGGTGAGGGTTGATCCCGAGCAGTAATTGCTCAGCTGGAGGTATGAGGGGTCCCTTCTGACCTCGAAGCTTCAGAGGGGATGGGAAAAGGTAACTTGGCAGCTTTGTGCTCGGAGGCTTCACCCCTAGGTTGGTTTAGGCAATAGACAGTGAGTCCCTGGGAAGGCAGTGGGCCGGCAGAGCCCAGGCATCAAGGCTAACATTTCAGCCTTAATGATCCAATTTAGGCTGGGAGTGGCGGCTCATGCCTGAAATCCCAGCACTTTCAGAGGCTGAGGCGGGCGGATCACCTGAGCCCAGGAGTTCGAGACCAGCCTGGCCAACATGGCGAAACCCTGTCTCTACTAAATACACAACAATTAGATGGGGATGCTGGTATGCACCTGTAGTCCCAGCTACTCGGGAGACAGAGGCAGGAGAATCACTTGAACCCGGGAGGCAGAGATTGCAGTGAGCCGAGATGGTGCCACTACACACCCACCTGGGTGTCAGAGCGAGACTCTGCCTCACCAAAAAAAAAAAAAAAAAAAAGAGAGAGAGGATAAAAAAGAAAAAAAAATCCAACTTAAACAAAGAAAACTGTTTCATTCAGCTAAATACCCTAAAACTTGATTATAAATCATAGATTGGAAGCCAACACAAACTTGCTTTGTAATGCAAAGCAAACACTAAATACGGCTCTCTCTACCTGATGCCATATAAATTGTGGTAAATATAGTTAAGGCTGTGGGTTGGGCTTGTGTGCTTTCCTGCAGGAAGCAGCATACTTCTGAGGGATAAATATTGCATTTGGAACCTACGAGTTGGTAGTTTTCTCCAAGGATGTTCTTAGAAGCCATTTGCAATGAATTTGTCAGTTTCTTTGGATTTGGATCGAATATAAGGATTCTGGAACATTACTGGGATCTCTGAAAATTTTATTTCCTACCTTATATCTTATGTGGTTAAAGTACATGGCTGGGAACGATGGCTCACGCCTCTAGTCCCAGTGCTTTGGGAGGCTGAGATGGGTGGATCACTTGAGGTCAGGAGTTCAAGACCAGCTTGGCCAACATGGTGAAACCCTGTCTCTACTAAAAATGTATAAATTAGCCGAGTATGGTGGCACTGGGCTGTAGTCTCAGCTACTCAGGAGGCTGAGGCAGGAGAATCACTTCAACCTGGGAGGTAGAGGTTGCAGTGAGCTGAGATGGTGCCACTGCACTCCAGCCTGGGAGACAGAGCGAGATTCTATCTCAAAAAAAAAAAAAAAAAGTACTGTAATCCCAGCACTTTGGGAGGCCGAGGCAGGTGGATCACGAGGTCAAGAGATCGAGACCATTCTGGTCAACAAGGTGAAACCCCGTCTCTACTAAAAATACAAAAAATTAGCTGGGCACGGTGGCGCGTGCCTGTAATCCCAGCTACTCAGGAAGCTGAGGCAGGAGAATTGCCTGAACCCAGGAGGCGGAGGTTGCGGTGAGCCGAGATCTCGCCATTGCACTCCAGCCTGGGTAACAAGAGCGAAACTCCGTCTCAAAAAAAAAAAAAAAAAAAGTATATCTTGTTCCCAGAAACCTACTTTTCCTTCAAACACTTTGAGGCTTAAAGGCAGGATTTACTATCCTCTGAGGAAGGAACAGAGGCTGTACCACGTTGGTGAGTTTCTGGGATCCTACAGTCAGATGGGGAAGGGCCTCCTGCCCTAGGAAATCAGATTCTAGGATGCTATTCTAAGGGAAAAAAATCCCCTGGAATTATATTATCCTCTGAAAACTAGTGCCACATTTTCCTGTTGATACTATACTCATCACCTTCAGTTCACAGTCAAGATTCAGTTATCGTGTTCATCTTGCTCATTTTGGCAGGCACTAAATACCCATGCTTATATGCAGCCAAGCAGGTTTTTGAGAGCTTCGGATCCTCTGGAAATATTTTTTCAGTTGTTGAAAGGGAACGTGCGAGAAAACATATAT